GGAAGATAAGTAGCAGAGGCTAGTCCCATATGTTTGAAATCATTCTCTGGTGCAGATAATGGCATGAAAAAACAGGTAAAAAACAGCAGTGAAGGCTGAAATGCTTCAAGGCAGTTCTGGGCGGCTGTTTGCTGTCAAGAACTGGGTGGACAAGTGAAAGAAACACCTGAGTAAATATTTCAAGGACTGTTGAATTGGCAAGCACCTTGTGATATTCAGGTGGTTTTTTTTCCATCACAAGAGCAGAAAAGACAGCAGTTCAACTGCTGCAGGTTTGGTGTCCTTTTCTTTTATTTATATAGATTGATATACTGCAGAAGAATACAGAGCATATTGGGAACCTTCAAACTGGAAAGGAAAAAATGTTGTATCAACCTGAGAACCAGCATCAGGAGGAGCTCAAACAAGTGGCCTGTGTGAAGATGTCCCAGGACACAGAGCTCAAGGACAGATGTGACACTGAGGCTTTCCCCAGCACACAAGGTGTCACTGCTCTGTCACTGCTAAAAGGCAGGTGAACTTGTCCCAAAATGCTTTGGATAGCTCAGCCTTGCACTGGTGCAGAGGCATTGTGACTTGTGACTTGGCACCTGCTCTCAACTTCCCAGCTGATGTCAATGGGCTTCTGGAAGAAAAATGAAATTTCAGCCATATTTCAGCAAACTTGCCATAGATTTAACTCAAGTGAATGGAAATTCAGAATGAATTTTTATTTTTTTTAGTTCAGTCCTCTAGACAATGAGCAGGCTACAGCAGAGTGAATTTATTTATCTTGGCTTACAAACATAATAGCTTAATGGTTAGTAGTCCTGGATGAAATATGGATTTTCTACCTCCTAAGCATGTTTCTTAGTTCTCCTACATCTGCTTCCCTTTAGCCCTCCCAACTCAAAACCAAATAAAAATTCAGCATTACCTGAATGCTGAGTTACAAATGAGAAAGAGAAAGAAAGGTCAAAAAAAAGACCAAAAATGGTAATAAATACTATTGTCATATGGAAAGTGGTTCCTTCCTTTCTAGCCTCCAAATCAGAATTGGAATGTGGTTTAAAAAAAAAACCAAAACAACAAACCAAACAAACAAACCCCCAACAAAACAGATGAAAAAGCATATCAAATATTTATGTTGCCTGCAGTCACTCTGTGGGTCTTTCCAAGAATCATTCATCCTGTTTTATGTTCAATCCTGATTCAAATGGCATGAGAAAACTTACGGCATAAAATGAAGTCTGGTCATGTTTGGGGAGTGAATCACAAACCTTTCCAAGAAAAAACATGATTGTGTATATAGAGTGTAGGCAATCACTTACTGAAAACTAATCTTTTTCTTCTTCTTTCTGCACATTCAAAGAAAAAAATAATATGAAAAAATTGTGGGAAAGAGTTTTGTTTGCAGACCAGAATATAAAAGTTAAAGATTAGACTAATTTTGCTTTGATTACTATATTTGCATACATAAAATACAATTTTAACACTTATAAATTAAACATTTTCAGGTGTAATTTAAGTCTTGTCACTGGGAAGAAATGGATATGTAGGCTCATTGTTGACCTTCAGCCTGCACTTGTACATCAAGAAGGCAAAAATGTACCAAAAGATTTCTGACTGTTTTTAACATATCACAGTTTCTGGTGAGGATTAAGTTATGCTGGGATTAATGAACCCTTTGCTGGTGTAGAGTCTTTCTTTCCTGAGTATGAATAAATCACAATTTTACTGCTAGAAAAGGATCTGCATCAGGGTTAGGTTTGTACAGTTGGAATAATTATAATATAAAGGGGTTTAAATCCTGTGCAGAAAAACAGAGTGTAAGAAAGTTTCTTAAAACTTCTCATGGTTAAACAAGAATGTGCAGAAAAACACTGCCTCATTTGGTAGAAATAAAATGAGTGAAATCCCTTCATTCCTACAAGGAATATTTCACTTCCTATAGGGTGGTTGTCTGGTGAGACAGAATAATGCTATGAGCACAGAGAGGTGTGTGGGGTGGCTTTTTAAGAAGGTAATCTCTGTAACACAGCCAATTTCTTTTTGTATGTGTCACATGATTCTCCTATCATGAGCAATATTGGCTGCTAAGATATTGCCTTTTAAAAATTGCAATTAAATAAGGCAAATCAATGAAGAAGAATCAGGAATTATTTGTACCTTCAAACTGTTTATTTGGATTAAAGCCCAAATCCAGCATTACAGCCTGGAATGAAAGGTGTTATTCTCTTTGAAAAGCACCACCTTTTCTGTTGTTCTTACCAAGAAAAACTAAGGGAAAAAATAAATTTAAAAAATAAGGCTTGAGTACTGAAGTTCATCAGCTCATTTCTCTTTTATATAGAAAAGGTGTAATTTTTTTTCTGAAGTGTGACTATTTTAAATAGTGCTTTGCCTCACATGAACTTTCTCATCTAAAGGGTGCTGTTTAATTTCCTTTAAACAAGATAAGGCTAGAGAAATTACTGCTTCCCTTGTTTAAAAAAAATACTCTTTTTATCTCCCAAAGGTTAAGAGTTAACTAAGACTCCATGTGCTGGAAAACAGAATTTCTAGAGTGGAACAAAACCAGTTAGAATATCCCACAGAAAAAGGAAACAAGGGACATAAAGGTTGAGAGTCACCCAGGGTCAGGAAAAAACACAGCAAGGCTTGTAAGGAAGGGTTTCTGAATCTGCCTTTGATGTTTTAATTATGAATTTATTTTTTTTTCTGAAGTGTTGCAATCACTCATGGAATGTCTTGCTTCCAGCATTTGATTATTTTTCCTCTGATTGTCTCATTTTTGTCATCATCCATGCCAAAGAAAATCCAGGCACAAAAATTTATTGCATAAAAGAGACTATCTAATAAAAAAAATCACAGAGACAGGAGCCTCCTACGTCACAGCTTTGGTCTGTTTGTGTTTCTGTATTTGCCTCAGGAAAAACCTCTTCACTCTTGCAGGGTCATACAGGAGTTTGCTGGCACTGGCACGTGCTATTTGTTTGCTCTTTTTCAGTCATGTCTTCTCTCTTCACTTGGAAATGGCTTTTTTTAGCAGTTTGCTGTCTTCTATCTTGAATGGGTGCAGCCTCCCACTGTATTATTATTCTCCTATAAAGCTCCAGGTTCAAAAAGCAAACCATCACAACTTGTTTCACAGAAAGGAATGGAACAAAGACTATTCAGATGAGATTATATCCTGAAATATTACTCAAAGCTCACGGAGAGTAAGCTTGTGGAGATAGATCTCATAGATTTTTGTGGAGATCTATGAGAGCCCAGAGGTCTGGCTGTGGACCAACAAAAATCATACCACAGTAAATTGTGACACAACAGGGGAAGAAATGAAAACAGGTTGTTGAAGCAGGGGTAGGAATGTTGTGCTGCCCTCCTTTATCCAGATGAAAGAGGGAGATGGTGAATGACTAGTGGGAGATTTCCTTAGATAAGCATAACAAAAATATGTAGAAATGTCCACAAATCTTGTGCATGTTCAGGACCTGCAGAAAACAGAGATGTCCTGTGTCCACTCAGCAAGGAAGCCAGCTCCTGGGAGGAGGAGAAGTCTTGTTTCCATCTGACCTCCCCACATCCCAAAGCTCCCCCTTGCAAGGGAGCCTTAGGGATATTTTAAATCCCATCACACTACATTATTATAACATTATTATTTGCATGGAACCTAAACCATAACAGCATTGTCTTGGGGGTACTAAACCCCCATGGTTGCTGTCCCCTGGAGAAATATGTAATCTGTTTCTAACTTGAGAAACTACCTGTGTCTCTGGATGAAAACTCCTCTGCTTTCATTTTTTTCCCTTCTTCAATCCCCTAGCATCAGTTTCACACAAGAGCAGTGCCTAAACCATGAGGTGCAATTGATAGATGCGAGGCAGGGCTGTTACTGCAGGTTTGTTTGTATAAAATCACTTCTCATAAGGATTCCCATAAGGATTCCCATAAGGGATAACTGAATGGGAATCTTACTCTGGAGCCTGTAAATTTTATCCTGTCACCTGTCTCTTAAGACTCAATAAAACAGCATTGGGTATACAATGTTTCTTGCTATGATGGTTCTTATCCCATTACCTGTGAAGTGTCCTTGGAAGTCTGAGAGCTGGCTTTTAATGCATCCCTTCTAAGGCCCATCTGATGGCAAAGCACGTGCATGTCTTCAGCTCAAAGTAAGGAAAGTTTAGGCTAAGGTCACTTGCTCTGAGAAAGCAACTTTAAGATGAAAAGAAAAAGTGAGCAGAAATGAAAGATGGTTTTATTTTTAGGAAACATTGGCGTTGAGTAACAATTGTTGCAGAGCTCAGGACTGTTGTTAGCAAAGAAAAGGTTTCTGGTCCTGTAAGAATTTCAGTATAGCACTGCTGGTTCTCTGCTTTGTGGTGATTCTTTCATTTTTTTGTGTCTTTGTAAAAAGCTCCTTGTCTGGAGATTGGCTGTGATTTAATGGCATTCTTCTAACCTGCCTGTCCATGACAAATTCCTCAGCATTTTGGAACACCTAAAGTGCATTTAGACCCTTGGGGTTTGGTTTTTTTTTCTGTCTTTATTTCTCCCTAAATCACAGAATGTCCAGATTGTGCATCCAAGAAAAGCCATAGTATTGGAGTGCTTCCTGCAGGCTGAGAATTGCATCTTGGTCGGGGCAAAGAAAAGACCACACTGCATGCAGGCACACTTGTGAACAAGAGGCAATACTCTGTCTCTAAAAGATGAGCATCTGACAATTGACTGCAGGATAAAATGCCACCTGCATACTTGTACAAGATGGAGCACTTGATGCTTTTGTCTTTGCACCTGGCACCCAGAGTGTGAGAATTGAATGCACTGTGAAGATTTCCATCTGCACTATTTAATTTGCTGTATGCTGACAACTCATGTGCTCTTTGCAGTGTTAGTATCACAGAAATTACCTTTTAATTTCCTATTTCAGAAGGTTCATAATAACAACTGCCCAAATCTCTCTGATCCTTTTTGACTTGCCCCTGATGCCTGCTGCTGTTGCCTTTGTTTTTCAGCTCGTCATGAAGTTATCACCAAAGAGATCCTTGAGCTGGATACGTGGGAGAACCAGTGGAACGTGGTGGCCACCGATGTCCTCATGCACGACAGTTACGATGTTTGCCTCGTTGCTCGGCTGAACACGCGGGATCTTATCCCTCCTCCTCCAGATTTAGTGAGCCAATAGAAGTTCAGTGCCTCCAGATTCTGCAGAGACTGAAGAATCTGGGGAAACAAATGCTGCATTGGCTCTGGATCACAGCTGAGTCCCACAAAGAGGAAAGGGCAACATGTGCTTAAGGACATAATTGCCTTTGAGCTGTGCTTATCTGATGATGTTTAATTTGACAGTGCTGATGTTCTGGACTTCTGTGGTTGAAAGCCAAGGCTGTCCAGCCTTTGTGTGTGGCTCTTCAATCTGGCTGTACAAGCTCCAGTGCTGGGTGAAGCCTGGGCTGCTGGGACCTTTTGCCTCACAGGCACAACGGCAGCCCAGGGCTCAGCTCACCGCAGGTGTATGACAGAAAGCTCTAGCCAGGGAAATTCCTCCTTTGCTTCTCATCCTACTTGGATCTACTAAGCTATGCAGGAAGCTAAGAGATAGATTAAGTCAGCTGATGAAAAACAAGGGCCAGACTGTAATTGACTGATGCAAAGGTAAAACAGAGAAAAGCCTTTGTTTGAAACAAAATCCCATTAGCCAAGGTCCATTAGCCAAGAACACCAGCTCCTGCAAACATTATCCAAAGCACAGACATAACAGTCAAGACATCCTGTCTTTGCTAATAGACCTGAACCCGTGCTAGTAGAAAACAAATCCTTTGGCAGCAAGTCACAAATGAGACTTTCAATCCAGCTGGTAGGCAGTCTCTACCAAAGACAAGAAGAATCTTAAATTTTCATATAAATCCTATTTATTACAAAGTCTGGTGTGACCAGATCTTAGAGCTCAGGAAACTTTCCTTGAGAGATGAATAAGGGGATGCAAACTAAAAAGTAATAAATGAGACGAGTATTGTCTGCACATCAGCATTGCAGCTACAGGAAAGGAGAAATGTGCTAAACAATAAATGTTTATATAATGGGAATAGCTGTAATGGAGTATCATAAGGCTAATTTTCTACCAACAGAATTGGCTATAATCACAGGGAAGAGGAACAATTCAAACAGTGCTTCTGAAGCCCTTTGTAGGGCTTGAAGACAGTAGGTTAGAGAGAAAATTGTTACTAGTTATGCCATTTGAATTACCAATAACTGTTCATCAGTTCTCTGGTGCCTCCCTTGCAGTGTATCTGTCCCTGCCTGGGCATTACAGACAAGAGAACTGGAAATCTCATGGTGCTCTTGGGCCTCAGTTGTAAATGACAGCATGCTGCAATACAGACAATGTCAGAGACAAACATCAGACTAAACTATATTGTATGAAAATAATTATTGTCAGCAAGAAGTGGCCTTGATAACTACAAAAGCAGCAACAAAAGTGGAATAAAAAACAAAGGCAAAGAAATGAAGGTAGTTTATCCATAGTTACTTCCAGAATTTGTATTTTAGAGCATCACAATTTTATCTTTCAAGCCTGTTTTAGGCTGCAAAAATGCCAGCTTTTTTTGTTGCTTTTTTGACTGTAGTGCTTATGGCAGAGAGAGATGGAGAGGATGATCCAAAAGCCCTTTTCCAATTCTGACTTTTGTTTTTCATTAATTATTCTATAAATATCCAGTGGGAATATTAAGCTGTCATGTAAAAACTGTTAGAAGGAAGATCAGTAAGTTTTCCTGGTAACTCTAGTAGGACACTGAGGAATGGTCAGACAAGGGATTTGGGGGGAAGAAATTCAGGAAAACACATAGAAAAGGAGTAAATCCACGAGCCTTACAGCTAATTGCTTGTCTTCCTTTACATTTCCCAAACAGAATGTGTATCACAGCCTAAACATTTACTCTTGTGTTTGCATAATTTCTGTATTATTCTGCCATCCTTTTTTTCTTTCCATTGCTCATAGGTAGGCTATCATCTGCCAAGGATGGAATTGAAACAACCATGAACTTCAGCAGTAAAAATCAGTGACTGGTTCCTAAAATTGCAACCCCTCTGGTCATCAAGTGCAGTTGAAGGTGTAAGATCAAGGAGGCAAACTCTGATTTAATAAGTTTTTAAACAAACTCAGTAGAAAGTTCTTCCAATAAATAACCATCCAATATTAGAAACTATTTGACATTTGTTGTTACTGTGAAATAAAGGTAATTTTGTTCTCATTTCTCTACAAGGCTCTTAAGGCAGCTGGAAGCAATGCTCTTGAGCATCCATTAAGGGCTTCCTTGTGGAATCCAGGTTCTGTAACTGTATCTATTGATTTTGCACTTTTTTTTTTTTTTTTAAAGGAGGATTGTTTTAAAGGAATGTTTTTTGATCTTTGGTCTTTGCTCTGTGGTCTATTCCCTGCAGTTCTTGTGCTTTAAAGCCTGGTCTAATCTAGTGGATTTGACTCTCCAAAAGACATCTATTTGGAATATTTAAAGAGAAGAAGGGAAATAATTGCAACCTTTCATTGCTAATATTTGACCATGTATGTGAAACTCAGCTGGCACTCTTCAATTAAACTTTTATTTCAGTAGTGAGCTGGCTTTTGCTTTCTCACTTCATTTGTTTTGCTTTTAAGACTGATATTTAATGAGCTGGATGGAAGAAAAGTATATACTCTGAGAAGGGCTGTCTTGATAACTGAGGAGAGTAATAACATATATTTTATACATTGGCCTTCAGTCAGCAAGCTTGAACTGCACTGGGCAGTTAACAGGTTTTTTTTCATGCAGCACAGCCAAGTGACCTTCCTTCACATGCACTGAGCATCACCTTTCCTGCTGCCCACAGGGTCTGACTGCCACTGGGGACCCTCGTGTCTGTTTCTGCCCAAGTCAGAATATCTAGTACTACTTATCAAGCAGGGTTATGCTTTTTTTCTCTATTAAATACCTAGGATGGGGGCACTAAATTCTTAATTTTATGTGGGCCCTATGCAGTTCCTAGGCTGCCCTTGGGATGACTACAGTGACAAACCAGTACTTGAAAGTAGGCAGAAGTGGAAAGCATGCTTATTGAGAGCTATAGATCTCAGCCAACATCCCTCTGAGAGTATAAGAATCTGCAGGTCTGCTACGTCCACAGGTAATCCCACATTGCTGTGACAGTTCTTAAGAGTCTAAATTTCTGCTAGGACAAAACCCAATTAAAAAGAAAAAAAAACTACAGAGTATGCATTCTCTATCTTCCACTGAGTGTGGGTTTCACTGAAATAATATTTTAGTGCAGCTCCTTTCCATCTGAGCAGCAGTTTAGTGCTTCATCAAGGCTGAATTTACATCATCCATAACTCTAAAATGCAAGCTGTGCTGGAAGCTACCAACTGCTTAAATGAGTCCTCACTCATTTAAGTGGGGGTTTACGAAGCAAAAGGATAAACCAGAGTTTCACTTGAAGAGCTGAAGTACTTCACAGTCACAGTTGGGGGAGATGGAGAGATGACAACATCTGGGTTTTCTGCACTAGAGAGACTTTAATAGCATGTGCCAGGGATTCACTCTCTGTAGCCAAGCCCTTTCTCCTCTTATGAAGCATACAGACCCAGCTGTATGCTGTCATACTTCACTAGTTGCCACACATGAAGAAAAGTGTTGGAATGGTATCTGGTCACGTGGCACACAGGGCATAAAGCAAAAAAAACCAAGATGCTACAAAAAGCTAATTGAAGCTCTCAATTTTTAACCCCAGCTTATGTTTTGTTTTGAAATTGTCCATAGATAACTGACGTCATAAAGATCCCTGCAGATTTCTCATGTCTGTTTTCATGCACCTGACAACTCATCTTCACACAGCACTGCTGGGGTTGGTTGCCTGTGTCTCAGTCCCTGCCCACAACAGAAAAACACACACATGCATTTTGCATGCCTGCAATATGAAAATTTATGGGGCAGTGTCTGTATTGTGTTCCAGCAGACACCCACTGTCACTCAGAAAGCCCTGATTTGCCAAAAGAAAATTGCTTTGGTGTACACAGAGCTGTCAGCTCTTCTACCAGCACTCCCAAATATACTCCAGGTAAGAGGCTGAGGAAGCATCAATAGAAGAGGCTGACAACAGAGATGGGAAGTGCTCCCAGAGTGTTACAACATGTGGTGGAGCCAAGGTGGGATGAATGATCCTCACCATCTCTTCCTAGGGAGGGTTCAGAAATATAATGATTTAGCCCTGGATCCTGATCCTATTTTTTCCCTCTACTTGAGATGTGTACTGAGATCCATGATCATGTGCCAATCAGTGAAAAAATGAAAAGAACCTAGAATAATTTTTTTTTATAAGATATACTTATAAAGATCTATGTTGCTTTTCTGCTGATTTGGAAGATAATTATATTCTTTTAATAAGCTGTTTACCCAGTGATTGCTGTCTTAGCTACAGGGGTGGTCCCTTTCACTGGCTGCTCTCTTAATGGATTATGTAGCTCCTCTGCAAATAAGTTTCATGAATCAGAAAGCTTTGAATCACCTGGTCAGAAATTCAGTTCTCATTTGCAAATGTCTGTAGCTCTCCCTAAAGTTTTTCAAGTGGACTGTAGCTCCAGCTTCAAAGGAAAGCTATTTCACCCCCAGTTGTGCTCAGCTGGAACTAGTACATTTGCAATTTACTATCATTTGATGTGTAGAGGTTGAAAGCAAAGCAAATACTTGGAAATGGCAAAAATATTCATAGAAAGTAAGCAGAGGTACACTTTCCTTCTCTCTTGGGGAATGTCTCAGTGTGTACTGCCCTGCCTGATGTTTGATGGAGTGATTCACTCATCACCCCTGGCTGCACCCATGGCACAGGCCAGGCTGTGGCTGTGTGTTTGTATTCCTGGAGCAGAGGGACCCAGCATGGTGTGGAGCTGTGGCTCCTGACAGGCTGCTCTACACTGCCTAAGGATTTACCTTCAAACCTTATCTTTAAGTGTTCCACAATGTCCTATATATTTTATATACATATGTATAGCATTATTTTTAGAAGTTCTTTACTAACAGCAGTAAGATTCTTTTTATAAAACATACCTGGAAACTCTGTCTTCTGCCTAGCTCATCAAAGTACTTTAAAAAAAGTGTTGGTCTTCAAATAATTTGAACTATTCTGGGCTTGAGGTCAAAAAGATCCTTGAATTCCCTGCTGAGCTGAGGAATAAATGGGGAAATCTTTTAGTACTCCCCTATGTCTTCTTCCTTCTCCCATTTTTTGGTGGCTGTAGTGCTATCCTCAGAAGTTTTCCCAAACTTCTTTCTCAAAGTTTTCTCCTCAGAGTTTTCTCAAAATTTTTATGCAAGTCTCTTCTGTTTCTATTCCCCTAATCCCATTTCTTCCTCAGTCCACTTATCTGACCAGTCCTGAAACTCCTTTGTTTCTCCTTCAGTTCCCCAGATGTTGGGAACAGCCACTCGGGGTGTTCACCATCTCCAGACCTTAGAGAAGCCTATCGCTCCAGCATCAAACCAACTTTGAAGGACAAAGGGAAGATCAGAGCAGCTCCCTGGATTTGTGGACACTCATTTTTGGGCAGGTTCTAGCCCCAGCCCAAATTCTGCTGTTCATTCTCATCCAGATGGAGCGTGCCTGTCTGCAGTGCTGCAGATCCTGTGGCTGTGGCCAGGCTTGGGAGGTGACCTGCATCCCACCCAGCCCTGCCGCCACCTCGCTGCATGGTGCTGCTGAGTTTGACGTTAAATGCCTCACATACTGTGTGTGCCACGGCTGTAATGACTGCAGGCACAAGCCATTATCATTAGCTTTGATTCCTCAACACTGGTTGTTACAAAAACTGCCTGAAGCACAGAGGGAGGCGTATTCATTATTGCATTACAGCTCCTGTCTTAAAGTCAGATTTCCTCCTGCATTTTCAGCCAGGCCAGGCTTTACTAAAGAAACCTGGCTGAAACCAGGGTCTCTAATTTATCAGGTTCTAATATTGTTGGTTTTTTTCCACTTTGTCCTTTTCTAGTCATTCTTTATAATAATACAAGTGATTTCACCATCTTTACTGTGGGATGCATTATCCAAACCAGCCTCCCAAGGCCATTGGCTTTTCATTATCAGGGTCCAAGTACAGCCACTGAAGTGCCAGTCAGCTGCACTACTTTATTTTCTCATTCAGCAACTTCATAGTAGAGGAAAAGTATTTCATCCATACATGCAGTAATGTGAGAGGAAACCACTTCCCACATACACAAATTCCTGACTCATTCCTTTCAAATGTGGCTGAAACAACTGCTGAATCCAAACATAAAAAGCTATAATACCCATTCAATAGGCTTTTCCAGGCTTCCCAGTATGAGGAGGAGGATCACAGGGAGATCTTGTATCTAGAGCACTGATTGGAAATTTGAACCTCTGGGGTGTGCTTTCAGTTCAATTGCTGCATTTACTTGTCTTGGGCATCTGGTCTCTACACCCAGGTTCACCCATGTGAAACAGTTATAATAGTACATCACCACTCATTTTGTAGGTCTGTATCCGTGTGTTTAGAGGGAGGGAGAGATTGGGTGTTTGCAGCCAACAAGGGCATTTTATTTACTCCTTCGTAGAAAAGCAACACCACATATATAATTGTTGATGTGTTAAATAGAAGAAGGAATGTAGGGCTCATTACATGTACCTTCATAGCCAATCTCACTTGTACACAGGCAGAACGAATCTCAGCAAACTGAGAGGTCACTAATTGAGGCTAAATTTAAGCAGTAGTAATTAGAAGGATGAATGAACTGTATTTTTCTCAAAGCAGATCTGATTTAATAAAATATGTCACTTAGACACAGTTGCAGTGAAGCAAAAAAAAGGAGACAGTGCTTTGCAGAACTGTAGTAGATTTACTGGGTAACTGAGTCCCAAATTTAGATGTTTTATAGGAAAGCTTCAGCTCCCTGGGGAGCTCTGTAACAAATCTGTGACTGATTTAACTAGCCACTAAAAGGCCCTGCTGCATCCAAGGAGTCACCTACAGAATATGCATAAAAGGGTTTTACAATATTGCTGAAATGATGTGGCATCTACTTTAATCAGCTACTGAATTAAATAAAACTAAGTAAAACTTAATTTTCTTATTCCTTGAGCATCCTTCAGTAATGACACATTTTAAGATTGTGTTGCCCACTTAACTACCTGATTACTCTACAGGTACACTATAAAGTATATAGGGAAAGGTAAGAAGATAGAAAAGTAAGAAGAAAAGTGACTTTTAAAGGTGTCTGATTTCATCTCCCTTCTTCTGTCAGCAGGAACACACCTCCATTTAGGCAAAGCTATGGCCATCTTGCTGCTGTGAGATGTGATTTTAAGCTGAATAGATGTACCCAAGCCAGATGTAATGATTACCAGTGAAGATTCAATAGTGCAGGTGCCAGCTGTTGGAGCAATTCAGTGTGATCTCTAGCTGGCTTGGACAGCCCATGCTGAAGCCCAAGCTGTTACATGCTCATTGCTCTCATTAATCAGGCTCAGCTGAAGCCAGCTAAGGTATTCACTCATGCTACAGTCAGAACTCCTAAATGACCATAAAAAAGACCTGTAGTTCATCTGCAGGATTTGAAAAAGCATTTTGC